AATTTTTTAAGAATTTCAAATATATCATAAATGTCGTATGATAAAAATTGAGGAAAATTAATTATTATAACAAGAATGTTGCACAATTCAAACTATTGCATAATTTAAATAAGAATACGCAACAAGACAGTTTCGCAGGAGTGTATTATCGTTTCGAGAGATTGAGATCTAGTTTAAATTATCGGCATTCAGAGCTTATCAAATAATACGCCGGATAAATTATCATTCGTTATTACAGGTCGTTAATTACGATACTGCCGCGAGTGCCGCGATTTTCTTCGCTTAGCGCGAGCCAAGAGGGAGATAGATGCAGGTGCGATAGAGTGCGAATTAGATTGAACGATGAAGTCTTTGTAGCCCGTAGAGGTGCACATTTCGAAGAGAAAGACCGAGACCAGAATCTCTCTCGCGGATATAATAACGATCATTTCCAGTCGAGACGATCATTCCGCGGTCCGCCCGTCCCACTTTATCGAATAATGGCAAGCAAGACAAGAGACGGGAGGAATGAGAAGTATAACGAAGCTTGCAGCAGCCGACCATTATCGTCTACTTGAGCCATTAACCGAAGGAGCTTTCAAGCCGAACGGTAATAAAACAGCACCTGTATCGATATCCGTCGTTACTACGTTAGAAATATGTAAATGCCTGTACAGGTATTCGCGTAGATGAGTTGTCGCTATGTAAATAAAAGGAACGATATTGCTGAAATATATTTCCATGAATTGCGCATTGATGCTTGTCCTTCTAACCTTCACTTTATTTCATTTCAGCGATCATAATTCGACCTTCGGAAGATGTATCGGACATCATAATTGACCAAATGCATTAAAACCTGTGTGTGTATGATATCGCGCGTCTCATCTTGATTATTAATACTAGATATCTTTGGTAAATAATTCGAACTCTAGCTCATCTCAATAAACATTTGCAGGTTATACGTCATTTTCTAATATTTTTTGATTTATTAAATAAGTAAAAGTAAGATCAAATATAAAAATAAATTGTTTTAAAACAAAATTTACACATACATGTAACATTAAATAAAAAGAAAAGTTATGATTTGTTGAAATATATTTACAAACACACTTCATATTCTTTGTCGATAAAAGGGGAGATCGAAGAAAATATAATTGCACAACCGACAAGATATCGTGACATCGGAGTCATCGACATTTCATGATCGTAAATCAAGTAAATGGTGAATGCAATGGTGAATGCAATGATGCCGGACTTATTGCATGCTGCTAGAAATGTATCGAAACGAGGTCGGTTGAGCGAACTCGATAAATTATAAGCTACCAGGAAGAACAAGAAGTGAAATTAGACTATCATTAACGGACGTTTATACGATATCATCAATCAATAAATATAAGAAATATTACGTTCTTTTTTTAAGCAGAAGATATCAGATAAGAATGTTTATGTGCTTTTGATATTAAAGAACTTAAAAAAATATTTTTTTATTATAAATAAGAATGTTACATTCTCATTAATTAACAGAAAACAAATTATTTTTAACAAGTTTTATTTGTATGTGAATCGCAAAATTTTTATTGTAACTGTGTAATTTAAAATAATTATTTTTTAACATAATTTAATTCTTGCGTATTTAATATATATATATAATGACACACTTCTTTCACATATTTATTTTTTATTCTCTTATTATCCTTCTTCTCATTTTAATTATTATATAATATTATGTACTGACAGATGATAAAGATAAAATACAGCACGTAAAATATGTAAAATTAATCAAACTGTATATATCCGTTTAAAATTTATACGTCATATTTACATTTGTTGCGTTGTATTTTTTAGTAGAATTATATAAAATAAAAAGTAACAATTACTCACCAGCCATTATTCATCTCTAGATGATCAGTCAATGAGCCCCAATCATGTGTAGCTCGATCGTGTTTTATGTCCAATAGTCTGGCACCACAACCCTGAGAATAAATTGCATCCCTGCCACGCATGACGTGTACAGGACCCACAGGCAGCGAACGTGTGTCGCGAGTAAAGTGTTCCAAATTGCACCCCTTCGGGGTGACATTATAGTCCTCAAGGGCGATAGCGAGATATTCGCTGTAACTTTCATCGTATCTTTATATCGGATCTTACAAAGTAACAAACGAAAAAAACGACGGAAAATTACGCGATAATCCGGACACTTCGCGATCTGACACAGAGATGCGGAGATGTTTTAAAATTACTTGACTACTTTCGTAAGATATAATCACGCAAGCATTATCTTTCAAACTTACAATTATCTATACTACATATAAATCTGATTACTAAAAATGTATAAATTACAATATCTCTCTCGTCACTGGATGGAAATCAGGACAACTGTTGATCAATAAAACAAATAACCATAATAAATAATACAAAAATAAATAATAGAAAAATTAAATTTGTCTTCAAACATTTTAAATTAATTTAAAAAATTTGGAGTAATAAAAAAGTGGTTAATAAAATAAGTTATTTAAGAAATTTACATCCAATTATTAAGATAAATGTATCCGTCACACATGCGTGGCAGAGATCTTCTTTCTTTCAAAAAGAAATCTGAAAACAGATTAAAATATAGTACGTTCAAAAACAAATCGCTTCTATACAGCTACTTTGATAATAATCACCATATCGAGTTCACTTCCGTAAATAATATTTGTGTGGTGAATAAATGCATAAAAAATCAATATAATTAACCTAAGTGGGTCCGAACGATCCTCTCTCAAAGAGCGTGTTTGTCGTTATAATTATATTTCGTTCTCGCGCTCGTTTAACTGAAAATAATTATTTAGCCGCGATTGTACAACAATTTTAATATATTCTTAATTGTTGTTATGCTCACGGTGAAAAAATATAAAAATCATTGTTGCTTTAATTAAGACAAGAATTAACATCGGAAAAAAGCGGATTTCTTCTTGTTAAGTACAGATAACAAATCCATATTATTATTATTATTATTATTCTTTCCGTCTTGGAGAATCCTGGGTATTTCTGTGCGCGCAAACGGCGCAAAGCCGATACATAATATCAGGGATAAACAGGATTCTCAGGCAAAACAAAAATTTCTCTCCGGGGTTCCTATGCGGCGGCTTCTCTTCCTCCTTTTCTTGTTGGAGAATAAAAGGAAGAGGAGAAGCAAGAGAAGAGAGAACTCCCGTAGCATCTGTCAAGTTTCAGGATAATTATTTACATGAGATAGAATCTCGACTGGAGTTCTCCACGGCGGGAAACAAAAGAATCCGCCATTGGCAAGGATGCTAACTAGGCAACAGAAGGAGGTGGTGGAGGAGGAGGAGGAAGAGGATTCTAAAATGCAACTTCCCCGTGTTATACTCTTTTTCTTACCGACGACAGCTAGCTATACTCTCAGTTAGCCATATTCTCGAGCGAAGAGTCGAGGTGAGGTCCTATCTTTTTAGTGGACGGATCATTTATAGACGATTTGAGGAAGGATCGTGAAACAAAAACTTTTAAACAAATTTATCTTTCTCAGTGAACTTGAATGGAGATCGTATCACATATTATTTGATTTAACCATGGGATGAACAATGTTTCAAGATTGTAATACTTCAAATAATATAGAATGTATTATAATTACAACATGCCGTAAAAAATATAAATATTTTAAAATATTTTGTATACAAAATAAATTTAAAATACATAAATTTGAAATTGTTAAGTGAGCATTATATTCCTTATTCATTACACAATACATGTTAATATGTTATACGAAAACTTAAGAATTCTCTGAAACGTTGTATTCATTCATGGTTAAATATTTAATATAACCGTAATTATGTATGAATAAATATTATCTTGCGAGCATCAGTATTTGTCAGATATTATTGGTTTTTCTTCGTAGAAGGAGCTTTGCCTCCGAGGATTAATAAAGAATTATTCTCTGAGGAGAACGAGTGCTTTGTGCATGCTTACTACATGCGTAAACTTCGTTCGCAGGACACTCGTCGTGTGCGTGAACGGATTGTAAAGCCGTCACCGGATAGACCCGTAGATATATACTTATGGCACTGAACCGTTGTAAACAATGTTGCTACGAGCGAGCTTGATAATTGAGGCGGTTGTTCGCCGAGTCGTAATTCCCCAAGTGGTCCCTACGGAGGATCCTTACTAGAAATGGCGTCTGGTATAAATGCTCTCAAAGTCGTATACAAATTGTCACGTAACAATTCATCACGTTTATGTCAACGTCATAACGACGAAGGTATCGTGAAATGTATTCACGCGTGAGATATATAAATCAATCAAGTTAATAATTATCGACTATTTTCTTCGAATTGCTTCTTTTTCCTAAAATAAAATCCTCTTTTATCCCGTTTGTATCCCGTATGGACAATTAATTTAACTTATTTAACAAATACAAATTTATAATTAACGTCAATTTTTTTTTGCTTTGTCCCGTTGTTTTAATATTAAGTTACAAAAGCGTGAACGTTACAGCGTGTTTTTTTTTTCTAATTCAAGCGTTTAATATACTTCTGTTGTTTTCGACGATATAAGATGAATTATTCAGGATAAAAAAATATACTACTGCTTTTCAATAAAAGTAATTGGATATTGTATGAATTATATAATTTATTTATAAAAACCAACTATGTGTTTTCTTTATACCAACTGATTCATCTTTCATTCTTCTGTATTATATATATTAATTAATCTTATAATATTTTTATTTCTAAAATGTTCTGTAACTTAAAAAGTTAATATTTCTTAAAGAAAGTGTTTGCGAGCAAATTTCCAGAGGAAAATTTTGTTTGTTTTGAGGTTCTAAATTTATTTTATTTTAAGTTTGACGGTTTAACTTGGAAATTCTGATATACAGGGAATATTCGTATATCAAAATATTTAATAACGTAACATCACGATTATTTTTGTGATAGTTTTTTTCAAAAAATCTTGGATAAAAGCGGCCCTTTAATCAGTGAATAATCCGTTTTAATGAATATTTAATGTTATTCAGAATCTGAAAAATCCCGATATGTCTGACTACACGCGTGTAGACAGAATTCTGGAATATCCAGTATTACCAGTAGCACTGGTTAGCGGCGCCGCATTTGATTATGAATACCAAAGTCGATACCTGGGCTTATGTAACACGTATAATCTCTTAATTGCTGTAACAGCAATAATCCGATACATTAATGATATGTAGTAAATGGTTTATCCGGATCAAGAATTTAAAACCATAAACATCGAGAATCTATAATAAATAATAAATGTAATAAGTAATAATGTGATCAAACGTTGAAGTGACTTTCAGTTTAATATAATTTTACTATTTCTCTTAAAAGTTTCCACTATTATTATATAGTATAGATTAGCATTTTAAGACAAGCGCGTTAGCTATAAAATATGATTGTACCCTGAAAAACCCATTTAGTTGAATCAATTAATCTGTTATTTAAATATGGGGAAATAAATCTTTGATTGATGCAATAAAATATAATTTAATTGAATAGGTTAATTGATTCAATTAAATAAATTTTCAGTATAAAAATGCAATTAAAGACTTTATATAGACTGATTATAAAAATATGGAAGTTAAATTTTAGGATATTAATTTGCTTAATATAAGTTTAAAGCTTCATATGGATAATAAAACATAAAATATCTAAAACGTATTCTATATATGTATGCATACATATTTATTATTAGCATCTATTTTATCTTGAAAATTAAAACAAAAATTATCTTTGACAGTGTCTTAAAAATCACGAAAGCACAGATTATAGTACCTACTACATTAAGAAACGAAATCAAAGAAATGAAATATCTGTTCTTGAAACAAAAGAAAGCGATAGTTCTCGCCGCGGCGAGATCCGGGTTGTAAAACAACTTGTAAAACGTGTGGCCAAAATGCGTCCTGTCAGCCTAGGTTTTGCGACGGGTCCTAATCTGCTTGGCAAATCTATTGGTTTGCTGTGCCGGAGTAAACGGCGGATTATACTTCGCGACGGGAACAATAAATAAACGGGCTGTTTGTCCGCCGACGAACGGGGAATAATTTTATATTTGCATAAGCGTGTCGCTGAAATATGCAATTTATAATATATATCTCACAAATATTGAGCTACATTTATCAGACACCATTCTAAAAAAATAATTCAACCCAGAATTCGCATTGGAATAAGTATAGGTATCTAATTGCGATTAAGTAAAAGGATTGGCGATAATGAATATTTCGTTAGTAAAATGTATATGTATGAAATATTCTAAACTAGATTCATTGCATTTTATTCTATTTTATCAGGAATATTCTAAACTGGATTCACCGTATTTCATGTTACCTTAACAGATTTTT